TACTTCTACACGGTCTTGATTAATTTTTCCCGTTAGTATGTAGGCCATATTATAATGTTTTTGTAAGTAATCACAAATTTGCAAAGTGGAGGTTATAGTCACTCTTAACCCATCTGCAGTATTTTTTGTTAGGAAGTGGTTAGGTTTGATCTTTTTATCAAGAACACGTTGTTCCCATTCGTCAAGCCACTTGAGAGTACTTTCTAAAACCTGTAAATAATCAACCAAATTAAAATAAAGTAAATAGGAACAATTTCAAAGCTTTAAAATAAAATAACAAATTTTATTTTGCTGTAAAAAGCATAATTGAGAGCATAATTAGCATAGTAATTTTGTGTGTCAAAAACATAAAATTATTATCTTAATGAATAAATGGTAGTAATTAAATACATAAATCTCAAAATATTTAAGCAATTTATTAAGTATTTTATATTTATAATTAAATAATGTGCAATAATAGTTAAATAATAGAGCAAAATATGTTTTTATCTTTGTAAAAGCATGTAAAAACCTGGTGCATAAGCATATAAGCCAGAAGTATGGTTATAATTTTTTCTTACTCATTTTAAATACTCCAAGATGATCCAACTAAACTATTTAAAATTGCACTTATTTGTTCATTGTAATATCGTATATTAATGATTTTTGATCATATTGATACATGATATCATATATGTAAATACATAAAAACATAAAAATTAAAAATAAACATCATTTTTAGTTTATATTTCCAAAACATTGATATTTTAACTCAAAACATTGATATAACTATGAATATCTATATTTTTTCATAAAATATAAAATCAATATAGGTAGTCTATTTTTTCAAGTATTTTGAGTTTTCAAAATTTAAAATATTTACTTTATAATCATGACTGTTAGGTGACATTCCTTTATTTAACTGTTTCAGATTTAATGAATCAAACGCTTCATTTATTTTTAAACAAAAATCTTCAGTAGCTGTGGAATCTTTTAATGCAGGACAGTAGGAGCGATAAAATTTAAGACTTTTTGCCATAGAATTACTGAAAACCTATAAAGAAAACATATTATATCAACTATTATTATTTTTAATAAGTTTTAATTAATAACTATATTTAATATTTAAATCGAGATTATGTCACCTGCACAGCTAGTCGAACACGCATTTTAGATGAACTATTTAACACTAAATGTGAAATTGATAATTTTGGACATACTCTTAAATTTCCCGGATTATGTTTATCTAAATCGTGCACTTTTACAAAATGATCCCATTTTATTAATGGTTCATCTTGATGAACCTATAAAAACCGAATTAATATTTTTTAAATTAATTATTAGCCAATTAGGTTTGATTGAAATTTGAAATACAGCCAACCTGAAGCTCTTTGTTGTTATAGAGCCTATTCCTAACATTTTTAAACAAATGTGGTGTATCTGCAAAAACAAAGATTTTTCGTTTTTCATTTGTTGGATGCTCAAACCAATTCTTAACTTCGTTTAATTTTCCATTAATTCCCATTTCAGTCCAAAATTTCCTATTGGGTGCTGCTCCATCACAAACAACTCCGTGAATAAAAGCACCTGCTTTTTCAAGAACTGTGATTGCTTTTATCATCAATTGGGCGAGCACCACACCTTTAGTTGGACCATTTGAAGCGAATACCGCAACTGGTTGGGCATAACTGTCTGCTAAAGGTACAAACATAAAAAACAACCCATGGTTTGCTTTATCAGAGAATGATTTTCCCTTGTCACCATCATCTCCAAAATCTACCAAACCTGAAAAATGTTACAATACCAATTAAAAACTAGCATATAATATATTAAGTAGTTAATCATTGATGACCTGTGTATGTAAGGTTGACAGAATTCACAGCTACACTTTCACGAGTAGATATTTCATCAAAAACAATTATACCATGTCGTTTAAATTCCTCTTTTTGAGAAAGATGAAGACTGAATAGTTGCATAAATTTTGGATCAAATCCACATTTTGTATCAATTAAAGAAAGATACCTTTATAAACATAATTTATAATATTAATATACACAATATTATCTTAGTAAAAAGTATAAATATTTAAAAAAAAAAACCTTATTACTTATTTACCTCCTTATGGTCCTTACACAAGGTAAAGGCATAATATCATGATTTCTAATACAATTGTAACCGCAAGGAGAACGCATATGAAACAGTATACATAATAGCAACCAATCTGCAGAGTACCTACATCCTTTTTTATTATTGACTTGTGATGCAGATAAAATTTGAAGCAAAGCAATTCGTTGGTTATTTGGAACTGAATTTTTGAGCAATCTTTCTTCAAGGCTAATAGAAGTTAATTCTGAAATTTGTTTTTGTAAATTAAAAATATTATTTTTAAACTTTTTATTTAATATCATGGTTCGATTTTTCTTATTTCTTGTAACATTGTGTCTCATGCGAAGTCGTTGTAGTTGATTCCTATATCTATGGCTAACTAAAAGTCTAATTCTATGTGGGGTATTATTTATTTTCAATCTTAGTTTTTGGCGATTAAGACTTCGTTCAGCACGTGTACAATGTTCACACTTTTTAGAACCTTCCAAAATATATTGGCACATGAAGTGTCTTTGTGTACCAGCCAAGTCAATGAAGGTTTTTTGACTTTGAATATCGTCATCTACTTTAAATCCACTGCAAATACTTGAATTATCAAATGTTTTTACTAACTCTTCTAATTCTGCAATACTACATATTTTTTCCAGGCCAAATTTAAGTGCATCAATTTCTTTATCCATAATATAACATTTAATATTCAAGTTAATACCTACACAAACTCTTTTAAATATAAATGGTGTAGGTATGTAAGTTGGCTGTTTTTCTATTTTAATAGAGTAATAAGAAAACATTATGAGTTGTTTTTCAATAATATGTGTACTCCAGCCTTTAGGAATAACTATACTGTTAATATTTTACTGAATCCTAGAAAATGACAATAGTTGGATATTATTTTGAACAGTAATTATGTTTTCTTGATTAATCAGATTATTATTTTTTTTAATATAATCAGGATTTATTCTCAATAATGGTGGTTTTCTATGTTTTAATGGCCTTGATAAATATTTTGGACAGTTTGGGAAAATTGATGGCACTGCATTTTCTTTAAGTCGAGGAATTTTATATGGCGCCTGTGGGGGACAAACCAATAATAGGTAAATAAATTATAGATATCTAATATTACACATAAAAAGTTGATTTTAAAATAAATATATGAATCACTAGTAAATAATCAAGTTTTAAAATGTATGTACATTAGCGGCTCCATCTCATAATTAAATATAATTAAACTAATACTAAAATAAAAAGTTACTAAATGTTATTATACTATATATTTTTATATAAATTGTCTCGACTAGTTAGCGGTACAATACCTCTACGACAATTTTCCCATTTATGTCTGTAATTTTTTTTGTCCTTATTATATCTTCTTCATGAAAATGTAATTCACAAACCACTCGCCTTGGTTTAAATACAAATTCTTTCCTCGGTATAGCTTTTTTCCATAGTTCAAGTTTAGCCAGATCTTTTGGGACAGTGAAAAAATGGTATTTATTGACACAGGAGTCGTAACCAGATTTACATCCTGGTACGATGCACCTGTGTCCCGGCATGATAAATAATGAAATGAAAGTAATATAAAAAAATTTTACAATAAACTACCTATATACCTAGTACCTAATAGTAAATGTTCACGTATTTTTACGGTTGTTGCGATTTTGTTGGGCGAACGCATATGTGGCGCTCATAGCGGAATTTCTCTATTATGGCGACGATAATTGAATCATAATTTTATATGGACGAGATAGCAGAGAGCAGCCCCGTGATTTTGTGATAATGTAATATTATTAATTATCACTTAATCAATATTTTTAAAACTTGTTCAACTTTATTCTCTGCTTAGGTAAGTTAGGGCCGTATTCATAGTCGATGCTTAAGAATAAGCATTGCTTAAGCTATACTTATGACTTAATTGAAATTCATAAACAAAACTTTTGCTTCAGAAAGAAAAAGTGCTGCTTTAAGTATAGCATTTTAAAAAGGTTAGGGCTGACCATGCTTAAGCAATTCTTTTCATGATTATCATACATTATAGTTGTTATCGATTTATCGTTTTTTACTTTATAAAATCATTTTCAATTTTGTATTTAATTTTCTATAATACTCATAAAATGGATGAATTTTATAATTTAATTGATTTTTATGACCGGGTTGCAATGCACGAACGATTTCCCAAAAGGTATGTGAGAGATATGCAAAATCCAATAGATTCCTACAGTGACAAAGAGTTCAAAAACAGATTCAGGTTTGTAAATATTTTCTGTAAGTTAATTATGCATATGAAAATAATAAATATGAATATATAAATCTTACATGATATACTTTGACAACATGCATTTATGAATTTAATGGATTTTCTAAAACTTCAGTTATTGAATGTTTAATGCCTCTCATATTTAATGAAATTGAAGCTGTTACTACAATGAGGGGTTTACCAGTTCCTCAACTTATTAAACTTTTAGCAGTATTACGATTTTATGGAACAGGAAACATTCAAGTAAAAAAAAGAATTTTTAATTATATTTAAATTAGAATATAAATACTTCTATATCAGTAATTTCTAAAATTGTCTAATTTCAGTTAGTTTCGGGTGATTTGGTTAGAATTAGTCAACCATCAATAAGTAGATGTGTTAAACATATTTCCCAGGTTATTTTAAAAAGTTTTAAAAAATTTATAAAATTTCCATCAAACCCACAAGAACAAAGACAAAACCAATTGTTATTTTACAATATTGCAGGTAATTTTTACTTGAAATATATAACTATATTTAGTTTGAAATAAATTTACAATTTTAAACTAGGCTTTGTTGGTGTTGATGGAACAGTAGATTGTACTCACATCCCAATACAAAGTCCTGGAGGAGACCAAGCTGAAAATTTTAGGAACAAGAAAGGTATATTTTCAATCAACGTACAAATTGTTAGTGGCCCTAAATGTGAGATCTTAGATATTGTTGCAAGATGGCCTGGTTCTGTTCACGACAGTCGTATTTTTAGGTAAAACATTACATTACAACAAATCCATGACATAGTTATAGTTATTACCTATATTTTACTCAATTATAGCAACAGCAATGTCAATATGATGTACGAACAAAAGCAATTACCAGGATGCCTTTTAAGTGATGGTGGTTATCCACAATTGCAATATTTATTTACTCCAATCAGAAATCCACAAACTATAGCAGAAGAGAGATATAACAAAGCCCATATTGCAACAAGAAATACCGTAGAAAGATTAAATGACATACTAAAAAGAAGGTTTGGCTGTCTATCAAAAAAGTTAGCCACCAAACTTAGTACAACATTATTAATTATATCAGCTTGTGCAGTTCTTCATAATATTGCCATATTTAGATATGAAGAACTTCCACAAAACCTAGAGGAAGATTTTGATTATAATCAAATAGTTCAACAGGAATACAATGGTCCACCTAATTTATATGGCTGTAGCGAGCTGTGACTATGTTTTACATATTATAAATAATCATTCCAGTAAATTCCTCCAGTAGTTCTAAATATACAGAAGAAACACGATATGCTGAAGGAGGCCTACGACGCATCTATTGCGCGTGACCTCGAAACGTATATGTTCATAGATATATAACTACTTATATGAATATAATTAAAATAGTTCACACTAAAAGTGTGTGTTGCCTCTGTAGAGATGACAACGACCAGATAAGCAAGGGACATCCGGCGTGTGCAGCGCGTGGCTGACCACGGTATGACCTTATATGGTAAAGTAGTAGGATAATAGGCAGGGATATGATCCAAGTATAGCCATTATAAAAACGTCTCACGAATAGGCTTCGGTAGACGGACCAACAACACCGAGCTAGCCGGACTAACACCACCGAGCTAGACGGACCAGCAACACCGAGCTAGACGAACTAGACGGATCAACACCAACGACAAGCTAGGAGCTAGGATATTAAAGTCACATCTCGCTAGTCTTCATTATTTAATATAGTCACTTTGGACTTAGTAATTTTATTGTGTTTTGTATTAATTAAATAAAAAGTATTCAAATTATAAAGAAAAGTCAAACTCTTGTTC